TTTTTTACATCCTTATCTCTGTCTTGGTGATGCTTTTACTGTTTCTTGTAAAGGATCTAATGCTTAACAGAAAAATATTGATTTATTTTGAACAGTTGCCTTCGGTGCTCGCACATTTTCGTCTGAGTTCCACCCTCTTATGTTCATACAATTGTACATTTATATCACTGCTGTGATCTAATTTAATATGTGTCTTAAAATATTGCCACACTATCGAAATAGTCACAGTACATCGTAATACAAAAAACAAGTTTACTTGAATTTAATGTACCTACTAACTATAGTGTAGGTCTCATATTATAATTTATTTATAATTATAATAATTTATATAATTATAATTAATTATAATTATTCAACAAAATAAAGTGTTTTAAAATATGCATGTGACCTTATGGCTTAAGTCTGAATAGGTAGCCTATGTTATGCATGTAAAAGTTTCAATCCCTAAAGATATGAATTTTTTTTTTTGTTATCTGAAATTTATAACATATTTATGATGAAATGTTGATATAATTCCTTGTTTTTCATAATATTTAAAACTATTGGAACACATTTTTGTAAACTTCAGTTTTTGTCCTTGATCTGGCAGCAAATTTAATTTTACAAAACGTTTATTATATTATTATCGATTTTAAATATACAATAATAAGAAAATGATAATTACACTACTTTTTAACACATAAATATATACATACTATTTAAAAACAAAAATTCTTCTTTTCTATTGTTAGTGAAATAATTGATTGAATCAAGTAACAACTCTCATTGTGTTATTTAGATAATTTTATTTTTGCTTAAAATGTTATTATGTTTATTATTTTGACAAAAACCATTGCACTTACACATTAAAAATAAAAATGGGATATTATTAAATACTAAATATTAAATTAAGAATAATTATTTTTCTTATTATTAATTTACTTCAATTTGAAAATACCATCTATAATGAAATATATTTAGTACACCTTTAGAACAAGAATTTGTTAATTAATGATAATATTTAACTTCTTAGATTCTAATCTAAGTATTGCAACATCTAGTCAATAGATAAACAATCAGTTTGACAATATTGTGGTCTTCATAATACTAGTGTATGATATTCTCAATAAAAATAAAATCTATATATTTCATAGATCATATCTTTAATAACCTTTGTTTTGGGTAATGCTTTTAGTTACTTTTACAAAGGATCCTATGCTTAACGGAGGAATTTAAGCAATGAACAGTTGCCTTCAGTGCTCATATATTTTTATCTGAGTTCCACCCTTTAGTGTTTATACATAAATTTATTTTATTGAGAATTTAGGTTTTTATTAAAATTTATTTACTGAAAAATGGAATTCTATTTTTTCAGAATCTGGGTCTGGTGAAGATGAAGACTAAAAAAAAAAATGGCCTGAAAATAAACATTTAAGTAAAAAAAAAATAAGAAGCATTAACACACGGATGTCAGCCAACGACCAAAATTGAAAACTTACCAAGGATTCTATTATAAACTTGTTTCATTACCTATGTATATTTTTTTTAAATAAAAACACCAATGATATGTATGATTATATTAATTTTTTATAGGTGAAAACAAATGATTTGTAATTATCATTTTTTTTTTTTGAGCATATTAGTAATGAACAAACAAAAATAGTTATAATTATAAATTTTAGTCATTCAAAGATGTTATAATTAATTGTCGTACCTACACAAGATGATCACAATAGCAACGAAAAAATAATTGTATTCTGTTACATCATATATTAACATATAAATGTATTAACTGCAGTGGTGTATGGCTGTATAAGTGTTGTTTTTTTTTAATAAACAAAATTATTTTTTAATTAAAGTGTTTTTCTTAACATAGCTTATATGTTATGTTAGCTATATATATCCATACATTGGCTACAAGTGATGATTTTGGCTTAGTATGAAATCATTAATCTCAGGGTCACAATTGGTCTCAATACACATAAGTATGCGATTTAGTCTAATTAATTTCCATTTTATCGTTTTGTTAAAATAGATATAACAATAGTTATACAAAATAAATACATACGAATATCTAGTAAAAAAAAAATATATATAATTATGATAATAATAATAATAAAGCGACATTGTCATTCACATGGAAACTGGAAGAGGTGTTCATCAATAATAATAATAATAATAATAATAAGAAAAGAACATATACATTTGTTTTTAAGTTTTTAGTTATCACAATACACTTGGCATTATTAAACAAAAAAAAAAAAAAAAAAAATACAATTTTAATACAGATAGGGAGTTTTGTAAACCAATTTTAATTTATCAAGTTACTGGTACAATTGAGTGTTATGCAGCGCAAGTTATTTTCTTTTAGTATATAATCCAAATGTGCTTAAAAACTAAAGAGATCAATAAAAAAAAAAGACAAGGGAACAGTAGTAGTAGTCAACGACAATTATCACTCTGAGCAGAAAACTTTTATAGCAATATGGCTAACAATTAGCTGTATATAATTACATTAATATGCAAACATCAGATATTCACTATATTGTAGCGTTATTTTTAATATTAACGAGCATATACATAATAGTAGGAAGTATAATACATGAATATATTGATAAATTTCATTGGTATTTTAAATTGAAAATTCACTAAATGTATTATGCAAGTTAACAAATATTTTTTCATATAAATCTATTATTAAATTATTTACGATGGTTTGTTAAAATGAAAAAAATATATGTTTATAATAACTATATATATCCAAAGATTAATTTAAAGCGACCGTCACTAAATAGTTAAAACTTGATATTTATTTTTAAATAATTTATATTGCAGGTACTTAGGGTATAGGTAAATTCGATAAGTGTGACACAATTAATTAATTAAAAATATGAAATAATATTTTATATTTATAATAATAATAAAAATAATAAAATAATAGTAAAAATAATACCTAAACTATATATAATATATGTAAATATATATCACTACGAACAACATAGAAGCTACTCACGACCACATTTTTTTTTTATAACAAAGTTATCGAGTAACACTAATAATTGAAAAAAAAAACTCAATGGATATGTCTTCTGCACATTATTTATAAACTTAATATGTGCAGTTAATGTAAACAATAAAGGGACCCGAGGACAAAAATTAAATGCTAATAATTGTTACAATATATATATATATATATATATATATATATAAAGAAATAAGTAAAATCTACATGATTCAGTATTTATAATGAACGATAAAGATTAAAACTGAATTTAAAAGTTTAACTCTGCCAACAACAAGTCATAACGTAAAATGATTTTGTTTTACATTTTGTACAAAGTGAATAGTAAATATTGTCACAGTTCAAAAGAAGTACTCTTGGATTATTAAGAAATAAGTTGAAAATAAGTAAATAAAAATCTGAAATCCTAAAGAAAATCAAATACAAATTTTCTCTTTACAATTGACAAAAAGTTTTGTATTTGTAAGTGTTTAAAAATTAAAAGTATTATTTAGTGGATAAACTCTATAATACTATTTAAAAGACAACTTTAAAATCTCCAACATTGAATAAATGCCCATCACGCTTCTTTAAAAAAGGGCAAAGGAGTAGGGAGAATTAATTGCACGACAGATAAAACACATAAGTTATAAGTTCTACCAAAAACGAAAACATGCAAAATGCTTAAAAAAAAAAACGAAAAAATTATCACATTATGAATGGAAAAGCTCGCGCACACTAGTGTGATTGATTTTTTTCTTTCATATTTTATCACACGCAAGACCCTAAAGTGTGTATGGTGAGGGTAACAAATTTAATTTAATGGTTACAATAAAACCTTTAGAAGTATAATATTTAGCAGTGGAATACTATTACAGCAAAACAATCATTTCCTCCCTCTTTCTTTTTTACACATGATTCAAGAGGAAGAGGTGGAACACGAGTTAGCTGGTGGTAAAACCACCAGTTCTTCGTGTCAAGTCGGTACAATAAATGGATTTTCAGATGATAAAGGTGAGCCAGAGGCAGCATCCTTAGTTTCTTTGGTTTCAATGTCTACACGACATATTGGACATCGCTTGTTAGATGACAACCATTGATCTATACACTCAATATGAAACAGATGCATGCACGGTAAACGCCTATAAAGTGATTATTTTATAAGTCAACTATGAATTATTTATTATTAAAATGTAACTTATACATACCTTACATCTTCAGTATCCTCAAAATCTGAAAGACAAATAGTACACTTCTCCGTGTTATCTTCCATTTCATCTGAAGATCTCTTAATCTGTCATCAACAAATAAATTACTCATTAATAATTATTTATTTTTATGTAAAAATTGTTTATCGCAAAAACTAATAGAATTACTTACACGTTTATATTTATGAGGAAAAGTATTCTTTTCTATTGTGTCTTTAGAGGCACCACGGTTCATCATGTGAATACGACGTTGTTCCATTAATCGTAAGTAATCTTCTAGTCGATACGATAAGTGTCGTGTTAACATGGGTAATGCTCCTATTTGTGGTGGTATTTGAGGTATATCAGCATTTGGCTGGGATGGTATTGTTGAGCCCGGAGTTGCCTATATTTGTTGAATCAAGTAGTTTTAATGGAAGATAGTTATAAAAAATAAAATAATTAACACTTACATTAACAATAGTGCCTGACGGCGCTCCAATACTAATGCGTACATGGTGCATTCGACCAGGAGGATGATAATTATAATAATGATGAATATGAGGATGACTACCGTCGCTAAAAAAATTAAGTAAATCAAAAAAATATATTTAATTAATTGATCTAAAATTAAAATACAAAAATTACCTTGAAGAACCACTTTGGACCACAATTTCTGTCTGTAATGAAGATGGAGGTACTTGTTCTATTCCATCAGTTGGAGGAGATAAGGTCTAAAATATTCAAGAAATACTAATGAGATATGTGTTTGAGATTAATTCTATCACATAAGATTTAAAAATTGTAGTTAAATTGATAATTGTTTCACTATATAAGGGTTATAAAAAGAACATAATTATTACATTTTAAAATGAAAATATTAACTTTATTTGACATACATTTTTATTTAACTAACACTTTACAAGGATATAGTGAAACCAGTAATATTGGACATTTTTAAAAAGTACATAAAATATTTTTGTAAAAATAAACATGCAATACATTATTATAATATATTAAAATTCCACATACACAGATATATTATAACAGATTACAGAAAACATTACCTTGCGATGGAAAAATAAATAGGACACCAAAACAAATAAAATCAAATTTAACAAACAGTAAAAAGAAACCCACCAATATGCTAATCAAGCATATCTTGGAGCAATGCAGAAAGTATGAAAAATAAAGAAAATAACTCTTAACATAAGCAGTTTTATTGAAACAAGTCTAGGTCCAAATCCAGATTATGAAAAGAATTTTACAAATTAATCAAAATACTAAACCAAATAATTCATTTAAATTTTAATATTTTAATAAAATAAAATAAATAAATGCTAAGCCTAGAGTATTATTATATTTGTAATGTATACCGGTTTTAAATTAAAAATGTAATTGATTTATCAAAAAATACATTTTTGTTAATTCGAAAATAGTTGTACATTGCATAAATAATACTCCAGGCTAAATAACTAAATTATTAATTGATTATTTTTAGTTTCTTATAAGACCAAAATTATCAAAACATAAAAAAAATACTGGTAGAACTGTAATTCATACTCTAAAATTCAAATTTAAAAATTTAGTTTAATAAATTGAGTTCACAGAGTTTTTTATTTAAATATTATAAACTATTAACATTTTGGCTAATCTTTTTTTAAAATACATACTAACAAATTAAGGACTTGAGTACCATTTTTTTGTTTTTATGTGAAAAAAAATGTTTAACTCATTAACATATGAACTCTCAAATTTTCAATATAAGAAAAAAAATTACGGATGAGTATTAAGAATTAACTTGCTGTTGTCTAAACTCAACATACATATTGAGCCGAATAAACTATTAAAAACAAATAAGCCAAAATAGATCTAAGCCACAAATATTAAATTATTTTTGAATTTATAGTTATACAAAAAAATCTCATGAGCTTTAAATTCTTAAGTCAAATATCTTATAGTGAGTCTGTATTTTTATATATATATATTTCTTATAAATAAAAATACTTAATTTAAAATTAAAATTAAACTAATTTCGAAAAATTATTGAACATTATATATGGATTTACTTACAATAACGGCAGTAGGACCAAGCCTACGTGAAGTAATAACTTCTGGTCGGCTGAACACATTTGGTTGTTGAGGTGAGGGCAACACAGTATGAATTGTTTGGATTGATGGATGAACAGGTGTTGCTTGAGGAGGTTGTTGATATCCCTGCATACATGAAACTGGTGGTATACTTCTTATTGATCGCACAGAACTACTGAAAAATTAAATTATGATTGTAATATTATATGTATAATATAAATATTGATACACAATATTTTGAGCCAAATATTTTTTTACAGGACAAATGTAACTATCTATATCCAAAAATTTGTTTAAGAACTAGTATATAATTACATTATATATATGTATATCACCATTTTATAAAAAAAAATACATAATAAACTAGATAAAATAAAAATTAATACAAATTAAATTTTTATTGATACACAATACTTTGGAACTTATTATAAATGATAAGTGAAACAATATATTAAAATGTTCTTACCCATTCATCATATCCATTCTTCTTCTCTGCATTTCTTGTATTCTATGTTGATTGTACCATAGTCTTTGATGATATAAAGGTACATTTGAAGGTACACATGGAGGAATTGGATGTGTAGCCATCATACCATGATGGTGGTGGTGTGCTGGATGTATATGACTACCCATTCCAAAAACAACCCTTGAAGTATTATGACACTGATTGCAAAGAGGTGGCCATCCAGGAGTTCCTGGTGGTGGGTGTGTTGAGTGTACACAAGGAGCTTGAGGAGGTTGGTCCATGAAAATTACATCATTTCGATAAAGAGGGGACGGATTAGGAGGAAATTGCTGATTGTAATTAGGCACAGAACGCAAGCTAGAATGACCAACATATTGTCGTTGTGGTTGAATTATTGGGTAACGGTTATACATTGTATGGCCCATTGATATATCAGCTTGAGGTGTTCTTCCTGAATGATTCATCAAAGGATCAGCAATCTCTTCAGATTCTTGAGTTAAATCTACTATGGGTGGACCAGTTGGCTGTTAACAATTTAATAATGAAATTTAACCAATATTATTATTTACAAAAACAATTTTAATCTAAATAAATATACAATAAATATAGGTAATAAGAATAAATATAAATAAAAAAATTATGAAGTAAATTGCAACACAGATAAATATATGGTGAATTTAATAGTTAGTTCAAAGTTTCTACATTTATAATACAAGTTTACTTACAAGTTGATTAATATTTCTTTGTTGATAGTTGTTGACTGTTACTAATTCTATTCCACTATCTTCATCATCAGCATCCATCACATTTGTCCATTCAGGTCTAATACGAGGATCATTACTACTATAACGAATGGGTTGTGAAGTTCCCGTACCATAAACAGGAAATTCATTAGCTAAAACAATATATATGGATTACATTAAGTACAGTTAAATAATAATTTTTAACTTACCAGATGATGTTTGAGGATTTATCATTCTAGTTTGATTTGAAGAACTTGCTATAGAATGATCACTTGGAGCTGTAGTAGTATGTATCTGAGAATGTGGTCGTTGTGTATATTTATAATTTCCTTGATTATTAATAGATGTATATGCAGATGAAGACATTTGATCTGGACCAAAACGTTGTGGTCTATACATTCGGTTAGACATTTGATGATGTCGGGGATAAGTTAATGGACGATTTGTATCAGGTTTACCAGTTTTCATTCGTAAATTGTTATCACCGGACAATAATGATCTAACAATATGATATAATTAAAAACTAAATTTTAAATAAGTTACTATATTAAAAATACCTTTTTCTTCCCATTTCAGACGACTGAGTAGATGGGACTGGATGATTGACAGTTCGACTGGATGAATCGTCTGTACGCGGAACAGACCAAGGTGTCTCTATAAGGGTATTTCCATACCGCCATATATCAGAGTTTAAAGGAGAAAACTCTTGAGGTGTATCTTCAGTCTCTAAATCACTTCCTTCAGCAAATAATGGGTCATAATCCATTTCATTCCCTAAGAATAAAAACAGTTGAAACATTTTTTTTAAAATTAACAAACACACAAAGGTGTTTAAACTATAAATCCTGATATTGCTATAAAAAGTATAATTATATGTATTTAAATCAATGAATACATGAAGTAATTTGTTTAGGATTCTAACTACAAATAATATATATGTATGATGGTAATTAATAGTAGTATTTCAATTAAGGGCCAATATGTCCATACATTGAAAAGAATTTAATTAATTACGAAAAAAATAACTATAATAAAAAAAAATTCTTGTACTAATGGTAAATACTTAGGTATTAGGGTATATAATATTATACTTTTAATCTATTGTTTTAATTCATATTACATTTTTTTTTAAAATAAGAATTTATTTAAATTTTCCTAAATAATATACTAACATATATTTTATTTAGTAGGTAAAAATAATCATTCAATATAATGTAGTATAATATTCTATTACCAACAAAATAATTATTTGTTTTAATTGAATATGATGTATTTGAATATGTTATGTCACCATTAATTTAAATTTAGTTAAATTAATTGAAACATTTAACAAGAAATAGTTAGTTGAAACCCAACAATTTCCATTCAAATAAATCAATTAAGAAAATGTAAACAACCATCAAAAGAAAATAATAAATGCAATATATCAGATATTTATACTATTAGTAATATAACATAATTTTAGGTTTTATTCCACCTTAAGTACAGTTAGATTTTCAAATTTTTTTTTATTTTACCTTTGCCATAAACATTACAGCAAATAGTTTCAAGTAAAACATTATTATAAAATCAAATATAAAGTAAATTAATATTTATAATTTAGATGAATTGTACAAGTTAAATTTAAGATGAAATAAATTAATAATAAATTTTAAAATACTAGTCATTAGTAAATTAAATTTAAAATTTATAATTATAAATATTCTCATTAATAACTAATGAGATATGTATAAAATAATTTAATTTATAAATTATTCGAAAACAAAATAAAATTTGACCACAGCTTTGTTTGTAACAATAAATATTAATAGCATTCAATGAATAACACTATCATTTTAAGTAATAAAATATAACAAAAAAATATATGCAATTTTAGTCTAAACATTACTATAACAGTTAGGAGATTATAATTTAAGATATAATGGTTCAAAGAATACTTACTTTTGTATAATTACAAATATTAAATTCAGGATATAAAAATAATAAAAACTACAATGTACAGCACTAACATCTTTAATTTATGAATTTAGATGTGAATAATACTGCAATTCAAATAAATACCTAGGTATTTAAAATAATTAAATAAAAAATTTTCAGAGATACAAAGTGATTATTTTAGAGTAACAAATTTAAAAATGATAGATGCTAAGTAAATAACAAATTTAGCAAGTCAATGTTTCTATGCATATTCTTTGAGGAAATAATTGAGTTATTGATTTAAAATTCCATTATTTTATAATAAATGCAAACATTTTATCACATAAAGAACCAGAGTCTTTGTATTTAACAAGATTTTAAACATATTTTATTTTCAGAATCAAAAAAATTATTTGAATAAAAAAAAATAAAAATAAAAATGAAATTAGTAAATGTACACTGACCTAACTGCATGTTTGATTCTGTATCTGCTGGTGGACTAGGTACAGGTCCAGTGGCTGTGAATGCAGTACTCAATAGATCAGCAAAACTATGAGTTTCTTGACCATTAGGGACATTATCAGGAACATCACTATCTGCTGGTATCTTTGTAGTACTTGACCAGGTATCACCATGATTAGAGGTTGTAGTGCTAGTTTCATTTAACTGATCCGCCATTGGGAAAAAAAAATATTTGAGCTAGCCGAATAAGGATAATATAATTGATTGAACAAAGGATAACAAATAAAACAAAAGGTAAAGATCAAAACATAAGTTTCAAAGATAACAGCAGAAATAGTCACCAAATAACCAAAGCTGAAAATCCATTATCAACTCATTTCACCTGAAAACAGAACAAAACTTAATTATATAAATAAATATTGAGCACACTTGTGTTTGAAAAATATAAGATAATCAGGGTATGCCTAGAAATTTTTTTATCAGGAGGGGGCTCAATATTATTACGAACACAAATTTAAATGTATTTATTTCACAAGTTAATAATTGGTAATAATTAATGATATAATAGATGATAGATCGATAATGGATTATATAAATAACCCTGGCAAATGTTCATGATATTAAACTTAAATTACATAAAAATATTAAGCATTACATTTTTTCTAGTCATTAAAATTGGAGAGGGGAAAGACAATTATTAAATTGGTAGAAAAAATTATTTTGTGAATCAAATGAAATTGTTTTCTACATTTTTAACGAAAAATAGTGATATCTTGAATGTCATTCACTCATTATAGTGCTACACAGTATAAAATCACCAGAAATGATAATATAAAACAATTTTACATCACATTAAATGATAACAAACATGATGATATAATATCAACTATATTTTTTTAATTAATATTAATATAAAATATGAATATTTGTTGAACATTATCTATTAATCTACAATTTAAAACTTTTAAATTATTCATAGACAATATTATCCAGAATAAAAACTATTTTTCTGAATAGATTTTAAGGTTAATCAACAATTTGTGGCTTATGCAATAATTAGATATTTTTATGTATAATCTGGATCATAAATATAATTTTTGGAAAAAAAGATTAACAGGTATAGAAAACAAATAAAGAAAAATATTACATAATTGATTGATAATTATTTATTTACTTTATATTAATATGATAATAAAATCTTTTAGATACAAACATACATAATGGTTTCAGTAGATAAAATAGCTATAATAAAAATCAATTATTTAAACACTATATCATCTAATGGTATATCAAATGCAGACATTAAACAGTTGTAAGGTCAATTTTAATTTTAATTATTTTCTAAGGAATATAAAAAATTATTTTGTTTAATAATATAAATATTTGTTTTTTATATCAAGTTTTATTAAATACATATTTTAAGATTCCGATATCAATAAAAATAAATGTATAATATTAACAAATTATTATCACAAAAGAAAAATTATAAAATTAATAAAGTGTATAGTACCTCTTCTACCTACTATGCAATTACATTTTATGTTTAAAAATTAATAACAATACTTTTTAAAAATGGAGGTACAAAAAATAAAATAAAATAAAAACATATTATTTATCATACAATTCTTCAAATAATAAGGCAATACATACTTTAATATAATTTGAATATAAACTAAATATTAGAAAACAGAGAAGTACTAAAAATTTTAGCTAAATTACCTAAATGGAAATTATTAACAAAATTAAAACAATTTTATTTAATAAGTATAAATAATAATATAAGGGAGCAAGGAAAAATGTATGAATATAACTCACATGATTGTATTCGGTCAACTTTTTTATTTAACTATTATAAGATATAATGAGTAAATCCTGACTATTACAATATAGGGGTATATATTAAAGTATAGGGGCAAATACTACACATAGGAACATATTAAAAAATAGGGGTTTTCAGCAAAAGTAAATAAGACAAAACAATATGTAAATACATGTCAATTAAATCAATAAATACTGTTACATATTAAAGTACAATGAATAAGTGCTTATGGGTAAATTTTAAAGTATAATCAAAGTGAAATGTTTAAATTTCTCGTTTTTTATGTTTTAAATAAGATATTCAGTATATTATTTCTAAAACCAAGTATCCTATTTTTCAAAAATGTACTACGTACATATATATATATATACCTACATCATATTAAACACTTTGATACTGACATACAACAATTTAATTAGAAGAAAATGAAAAATGTAAGCGAATTTAAATTTAAAAATGCAAAAATTAGGAACAGAATAATGTATATTATAAATAGAAAGTGTATATACGCAAACTTATGTTCATAACTTATATCAAGATACATTTCATACCTCAATACTTTGATGTCAATCATATAAAATAAGAAAATTATATTGAATATAGAAAAAATAACATTGATAGTTTCATCAAATTAAAGATCGTATAGAGGAAGCAAAAAATGTATTCCGTCTCTCGAGGAACGAGTAGAAGCAAAACAATGAACACGACGGCTTCAGAATGAACATGCACGCGAATTTCGACTATAGGCGGAAATATAATAATTAATGACGTTACGTGTTCGTTGGGGAACGATGAAGGGAATTAAGTTGTTTATACTAAGATAACGCAGTAGTTAAGTTACAAAATCGCGGTAAGAGTGAAGGTTGTGTCCTACAATGTACTGGCCATTATAGCACACACGTCGACACGAATGTTTTTGTTATTTATCAAAATTGTTACCTTTTCGATACGTCCGCGTCCATTCTTCAACGACCAACACTACCGCGTGCTGCAGGGAAAATTATTGCAAAGAACTCAAGCAGAGATTTTAAATTTATAGAAATAACTCATTTTTTTTTTTTTTTATGTTTTTTGTTTTTCTTGACGAAAACAAAATAACATTTCACGTGAACAAAAAAAAAAAACACCAGCAGACGCACGACTGATGCAGCAGTGTGGGGGGGGTGAATGTATAGAAGGTAGCGTAGCACTGTAGCAGCGCACTGTGCGTATTGGGAAACGCCATTTTGCGTAGTACCATATGGATGTGCAAACACAGTGTCGCCAACCCAAAAAGATAATAATGATCTATGCATAAACCACCGCCCGTCCAGGTTCCACCTGATAACACCAATCACTTAGTTTACGTTATCACCTCACCTTTACCGCCAAATGTTTCCTTATCATCACTTATAAATAATAATTGTCTATCCCTTAGATCTCATCTTTGAAGTCTTGTTCTCCCAATCACATTTGCTCAGTTTTAAATAATATGAACTTGATGTTAGTCAATTTTTTAGCCCTTTTAGAGGAATATTCGTAATTCTACTTTTAACACGTACAAATTATCTATTCGTTTATTTAAACATTGCACATTTTAAAATTGTTATTTATGTTGTGTTGAATAAATCATTTTCAAATATTTCAAGTAAACAGTTATCATTGAATGTCTATTTTTGGGAGCACGTAATTAAATATTATAACTTGTAAGTATATATTGCTTATGCATATTATGTTAAAATTATTTTTTATGAAGTTACTATCAATTTTAATTTACCATACATTGATGACAAGAAATGTAATTTTAAGTATTTTTCGTGTTAACTAGATATTTGTATATAAAATTAATTTTCAGTACAATACATGCTTATTTTTTATGGTAATATACTTTATTTTATATTTGCATCATATTACCATATACTTTTTACGTTAGTTAATTTATATTCATAAATAACATTTTTATAGATTATGGGAACTGATTTTGGTATTTGTATACAAAATATAAAGAAAAAAATAATTTTAAATGATCAGCTTTATGGATTTGATACAGAAAGAAGTGAACTTTTACAAATAGTTAAGAAAACTATTGATTATGGAGAAAGTGACTCTGTAATAGTACTTGGACCTAGAGGTTGTGGTAAATCTGTGGTAATACATTATACAGATAATACTATTAACAATTGAAGCGCTCGGCCGAATAACGGGACAAGTGCCACTGAGCGCATTTTACAATGGAGGTGTTTAAAATATTACGGACCATTTCCACGACTTAAAACTAAACTTATTATTGCCTTTTAATCTATTTTTATTGGAATTTCAATGCGGTAGTGAACATATACAATAAATTGTACTCGTGCCCCGATACTCCATCGATAAACGTAATATTGCCGAGATTGGCGCTTGTCCCGTTGTTCGGCCGAGCGCTTCAATTGTTATTTGACCTTTTAATTTAAATATATTATTATTTCCAGTTAATAGAATCTGTAATAAAAGAACTTTTACCTGATTCACATACACTTGTAATGTTAAATGGTCTTATTCATACAGATGATAATTTGGCTCTTAAAAGTATTATTCAACAACTTCAAATAAAAAATTTGGATGGAGCTTATGTTGAAGGATCTTACGCTGGTTTGTATTCTTAAAAAATCTTATCAATATTAACCATATTCTATAAAAGTATTAAGTATAAATTTTATTTGTAATATTTTAGTACTATAAAGTAAAAAATTGTCTTAATTTAATTCAATATTAAAATTAATTATGCATGATGTATTCTCTGAGTGTAACTGATATAGGTCATCTTGTTGCAGCATGATTGACTGATATTGTATTACTGTTGGTCTTACATTATGGTTATTTATTGATTATTGCTGTAAATTATTAACTCTTTTCTAAATGTTCTAATTGTATATATTGTTTCTGGATATATTATATCATATTATATATGGATATCAAATATAAATTTACAAATTTTGTATGATTATTTAATGTTATATTATTCATAATTTTTTTGTACAAGAATGTAGGGAGTTAAAGATATATTAATTGTACTGTGGAACATCCTTTTTTTTCAATTTTTATTCAGAGAAAAAAATTGTTGAAATTATACTTAAATTAATAATTATTATTACTATATTTATAAATAATAAATAATTATTGTATGTATTAATTCAGTTTAATATTAATGATTTTATTTAGATAATATATGTTTTTTACTGGAGAGTTTTCGAGCTGGAAATAAAATGGCTTCAAAATCAATTATTATGGTATTAGATAAATTTGATATGTTTTGTTCTCATACGAATCAAACATTATTATATAACTTATTTGATGCTGTTCAATCTCAACAGGTATTTTTTTTAATTAAATGCTGTTAGTTATGTATTATTTTATGCATCCTATGTTTTAGAATCCATTAAGTATTATTGGTGTGTCATCACGTATTGATGTTATTGAATTGTTGGAAAAACGAGTAAAATCCAGATTTTCCCATAATATTTTGATGATAAAACCCCCTTCTGAACCTCATGAACTATTAGGAAGATTAAAATGTTTACTTCAATTAAGTAAAGATTGTAAAATAGAGTCTGATGTACGTAAAAACTGGAATAACAATATTAACTTGTTGATATCAGATCCACAATTACAAGATTTAATGAACGATCTCCTAAAATTAAGTAATAATAATACAAAATTAAACATGCTTGTTGTAAGTACTCAAGTTATTAGATATATATATATATATATTTTTTTTTTAATTAAAAAATACTAATATTTTGTATGATTTCAGTTTATGGCACTTTCAAATTTATCAAAAGATAAAATGCTGATGGTTGAAAATTTGATTTGTAGTTTTAATTCTTTATATAAACAAGATTTGACCCTGGTTAATTTACTAGGTAATTTTCTAGAAATCTTGTTATTAGAGTAATAAATTGTATAATTTCTTTTTTTTATAGGCCTATCAGTATTAGAACTATGTTTAATGATTTCAATTTGTCATCATTCAGAAATTTATAATAAAGAACCATTTAATTTTGAAATGATTTATGCTCGCTACTGTAAATTTGCATCACGCAACTCTTCATTGCTTGTAACTAAAAGACAAGTTATTATAAAAGCTTTCGAAAGAATATCTGTTAAGTTGCATAGAATTTTTTTTTTTTTTTTTTTTGACTTCTTTACTTATTCTCAATTGTATGTTAAAAAATTTAGATTATGGAATTAATTCAACCTGTTACTGCTATTGAGAATAAAAATATTTTAAAAGAATATCGACTGTACAAATCATCAGTCAATTTGGATAAAATGAAAGCTGCTTCAAACCTATATTATAGATTACCACCAGTGATATTACAGTGGATAGATAGTAATATTATTTAAGTTAGTTCTTAATTAAGTTCCTTTTTTATTATTAATTTAGTGTATTTATTTTAAAATGTGACATTCAATTATTTTTCTAATAAATTTAATATAAAGGTTAGATTTCTGATTAAATTATAATTTGAACTTTTATTATAAATTTTTAAAAATATCATCAAAACTTTTAATAGTTTTTTTTATTTATTGTTTCTAAGTCAATAAAATAAAATTTATTGTGATAAGTCAAAATGGGAAATTTGAAATAGGTAAAATTACATTTATACAAATATATTACATAGTATATGTTTTTATGGATTATTTTTGTCTAAATCAATTTTGTATTTGTTAATATTAGTTTTATTTTAACATTTAGGTAAAATTATTATTTTTCATTTGGACCTGAAAAATAAATAAATAATTTTTAGACTTTGTTTACTATATTATACTATGTGAACTTAATTAAAAAACTGAAGAAATTAAAGTTGAATACAAGAGCAAATATATTGTTCCTTATTTGAAAATGTTTTTTAAATAAAGATATTTTCTGGTCCCCATTGAAATAAAGTTAATACAGTTATACATAAATATACATATTTTAGAAAATGTTTTGTACATAAAACTGAATTATTAAGTATAAAAATATTAGTTTTTTTTTAAATAGCAGCTTTAGTAGATTTTGTATTCATTAAAGCTTGAATAAAATTAAAAATAATATGTTCTATATATTATGGTTTAAATGTTTTGTTTTTATTTAATTACTGCTATGAGAATAATTAACTGTAAACATGTAAAATAAGATAAATTTTTACTATAAATAACAAAATAAATGCAGTACTTACTATTATGCATTATTTGTAAAAAAAATACTTCTGTCCTTTTTTTTCTTTCTATATTTTTTTTTTCTTCTATAGTTTATAATAGAATTTTGGATAAAAAAAATTAATCCAATTAAAAGTAAATTAATAAAACCACAACATTTTTTTAAAAAACAATAAAGTAATATATATATATATATATTGACAATTAATCTTTAATTTCCATAAATATGTAAATATGTTTATTAATTAATTTCACTTTTTATTTAGATGTAGCAATGCTGTATTATGAATGTATTAGTACACATATTAGTTAATGGGAGGTTAATCCAGAAACCATTTAGAAAATCAAATACCACATAATACCTTGATCTTTTTAAGAAAAATAAAAGTTATTTAGGATTTTATGACTTTTTCTTGACTTTATTCTTGACTTAGATTAAATTCTTAGTCTAATGACTCTGCAGTCGAAATTCATGTGGTTTGCTTCATCATTATTTAATTTTTCAATACTACTCATACAAAAATTTCTCACTAAATGTATACAAGTACATTGCATTAAGATAAATATATATTTTTTTAATTGTTGGTACCTAATAATTATTGTTTGCGATAAAATAATTTTTTCACATTTCTTTTGCATTTGTCTTATTCTTGAGTTGTTTTTACAATTTGTTTCTTGCTTTTTTTGATGAATGATTCATATAGGTATTATATACTTGGCTTTTTTCCCATATTTGTCTTCTAACATTAATACCTTCTTGTTATTAAAATCTAATATGATGGTAGGTATAGAGTTTCTTTTTATGTCTCAGTGTATAAGTATTATATACTTGATCTTATACATTTTAGCAAAATTATTTTTTTATTTACCAAATCTAAAATTTCTTTTTTATCTTAATTTCTTTTTATATTATATTTTCCATTTTTTCCCAGCTTCATATAAATAGAACCTCTAGCATGTTTCCATCTTTTTTTTTATTTAAAATCAATGTTTCACATCCATATAATGCTAATAATTTTATATTTATATAGATTTATTATTGCTATAATTCTAAATATACATTTTAATTAAATGTTTTCTTTTAATCTAAATCTCCTGATGTAGCCACTAAAACTGTTTAATTCGTCAATTGTAGCATCAATATTAGGACTGCTCTTATAACTACCTACTATCCTTTTCTCATCTAGCTTTGGTTTTATATTCCTTATTGCTCGATTACCATACATATTAGATAAAGAGGATGACAATAAGCACCACAACCTCACCTCTTTTTTCATAGGTACTAGCTATTTTTATTGTAGAGTTAAATTAATTTTGATTTCCTGATTTCTATGTACTCCATATAAAATATTTATATTCTTAATATTTATGCTAACATCTTCCATTAAATCAAATAGTATTTTAAAATGTATATTACTAAAAGCTTTTCCTAAATTTATAAAATTAAAGCCATAAAAGTTTTTTTTTATCTATTTAATTATTTCTCTATTAATATCTTTAATTTTAGTATTGCTTCCCTCATTCCTTTGATTTTTCGAAAATCATACTGGTCATAATACAAATGTACTTTGATTACATTCCCAATGTTTTACTTATTTGATTATGGTCAGCAGTTTGAAAGCATATGATAAGATTAATTAACTATCGCAATGATTTGACACTGCTTTTTTAAGTAGGTAATAATATCAGTGAACCTTTTGTGATATTGTGTTAATTTTTTTTATATTTCATGTATTAATTTTAATAATTTCAATGTTTTGTTCCATCTTGCTGAAATAGGTACTGAAATAGTTCTGTTTTTATGTTATTTGGTCACTGGATAGGTTTAAGATATATTCAGTTTTCGATTTCATCATCGTCATTCATTTTTAAGAGTCTTCACTTTCTAGTCTGAGAAGACCTTTAAATTTATATTACTTATTATTTTCATAAAGGATTCTACATATTCTTTCCATTAGTCAGCGACTTCGTCTTTATAAATTAATATAGATATTACCTGCCTTCTTTGTCTTTAATATTAAATGTAAGATTATTATAATAAATTACAGATGATACTAAAATTATTACTACTCCATTTTGTATAGTTCGTTTCACTAAAATTATAAAATTAAAAATATTACAGATAAAAATTTTAAATTTTTAAAATAATATTTTTTTTATCTTATGAAAAATTGATAATGGTATAAACCTATAAAACGAAAATGTTTAAGCAATTAAATAAATCCATATACATGTTTGTGTTCTATTTATTTATTATATTAAAATGTATTCATGTATAAATATACTAAAATTGATTTTTATTAATATATATTTTTTAAATATTTATTAAAATTATTTTAAAACCAGGAACTTTCATAAGTCAGGAGCATATTTTTAAGAAGTTAATGTAAATCTGCCAACCTATTATATGATATCCTATTAAAAATATTGCCATCAATTCCTTATTTTAATAAACACAAATTTAATAATTTATGGCACCTGTGCAAAAATCAGACAAATTTATATAACATTTATTAAAAATTATTCTAAATAAGTCAATTTAGTTTGACCTATGAAAGTTAAAAAAACAATAAAATGAATTATTTTCAATATTCAAATAATAAAATAATAAAACATAAACTATTGCATTAGTCTTTAAATAATGCCTCTGTTCATTTAATTTATGACTTTCTTTAAATTTCAGAACTTATTTTGTTAGTATATTTTTACAATAATATTTATAGAATTTAAATTATTGATAGATACACATATCCATTATAGATAAAATGAAGAATATTTAAAAATGTTTTCAAAGAACTTAAATTGAACATTTTATTAATTTTACACGAAATTAAATTTAAAATATAAAATAACTAAATTTGATATAAAACGCATATTGAGTTTGCGGAAAAAGTTATTTAATACATCAGTTTTGTTTTCATTTATAAGTTAATAAATACTTTATACTTATGATAAAAGTGCAAATAAAATCTAAAATTATATAGTTGGTATACCTACTTTATATAAAAAAAATTTAAATTAACAGTTTACTGAATATTATAATTATATAAGACAGTGTTGGAACCCAGCTAAACAATGAATTTCAGTCTACTTGAAAAAAAAAAAAACAATATCACATCACATCCTATAACACCGACCATGCCGGATAATATTATAATTGTAAAGTTTCAAGATAAACAATAATGTAAATCAAACAGTCTTGTAAAATGAAATCTAATTGTGTTTATGTATGTACAACAAATATTATTCGATTAAAAGTACAAAGATAATCATAATATACTGATTTAGTTTAGTGGCAGAGATATAGAAGATTAGAGTGAGATGAATGTGACCTTCGGATCTTATTGAGATACATCAAGAGGTCTTAATATCAAGGGGTGCGTATCGGGCGGTAGAGCCATACGCGCTTCGGGTATCGTCAGTTGATCAGTGGCTCTTACTTCGTACTGTTGAAGTATACCGGCTAGCATAACGAACCCGAATCCGGTGACTAACTGCTGTCCGATGCACGTCCTCTTGCCAATGCTGAACGGTAAAAAGTGTTTTGGTTTTCTAATGTAAGGCATACCGTCGGGTTTATATTGTATGAACCGATTCGGATCGAATACTTCTGGTAGGTCCCAGTACGCAGGACTGGTGTTAAGTTCGTAGTTGTTGATGATCACGCACGTGCCTTTTTTAACTTGGAACCCTACGCGAGGAAAAACGAATAGATACGTATAATAATGTAATCAATAGTACACGGGTGCAGCACAGTGCACGCAACACATAACCCGTGAGAACAATGGCGTGAAGTATCCAAGGTTAAGGGATAAGAGAGATGGGTGGAGGAATTGGTACAAAAATGCTCTGTTACCTTGGATTGTAGTGTCTTCGGAGGCCACGTGAGGGACGATAGGAGACGAAAGTACGCGCAAGGTCTCGAACAGAGTGGCTTCGGTGTACGGCATGTCGGGCTTGTCGTAGAGGCGGACCTCACGGTGGCCGCCGGTTACGCGATGGGCCTCGTCCCGGATGGCTTGGGCCACGCGCGGGTTGATGGCCAGCAAGGACAACGCGAGCATGACCAGATTACCGACGGCCGAGTGGCCGCCGATGAAGTCCTCAAGCTCGAACATCACGTGGTCCATGCTCAGGCCCGGCTCCGTGCGCAAGCTCATCAGCAGCGCGTCGGTGAAATCACGTGGCACTTGGTCGTCGTCCGCGTCCGTCCCGCCGCCGCCCGTCGCCGCGGCCGCGTACGTGCTCCTCTCCAAGACGACCGTTTCCATGATGAAGCGTCTGATGTGAGCCGACCAGTCGGACAGCTTTCTCAGGTGGCCCGCGTAGAACGGCCGCAGCCAAGGCATGAAGTCCACCGCGTAGCCCTGGTTGATATCCCAGAATATTTCGTCAAACGTGCGCACCATAGACCGGAACTCGGCGTCCGCGTACTCGAACCGCTTCGAGCACATGAACTGGACGAACATGTTGGCGCTGGCCATCATCAGCATCGGTTTCACTTGCACCGTCCGCTCGGACGCACCCGCCGTGGCCGCGGTCAACGAGCCAAGTAACGCGCGCACCTCGTACGATGCTATCGAATCCAGCAACCCGTAATTGGACGAGCACACTTTCGGCGAACAGTACATTCGAGCTATTTTCCGTCTTGTTTCTTGTAACCACGACCAGTCGCACAGCGCCAGCGCTAGAACATTTCAAACAAACGGTTCCCATCATGATCGCGTCGCATGTCTACGACCACCACCCTCTCAGTTGATTTGTTTTGCGTAAGTATTTGCTATATACATTTACTTAGATTAAATTACAAAAATTACAAAGAAACTCGGAATTTATTATGGAAGTTTTCAAAAATCGTATTATGTAAATTAAAAATAAATAAAAATAGTACCTATATAAGGTGGTACATGGTTTTCGAAATATTTTAATGTTAATCGTGCCATTATTTTCATTTTAATAAACGAAAAATGTATAACGCAATACTCCTAATAAGCTGATTTCAATGCTAACATATCGAATATACATAGACACAAATTTTTATAAAAGAATTTGGATGTTTACATTTTGCAAAACTTGACCATAATCATCTGTTTTATTGTTGTTTGACTGAAATTTGTAGTTAAAAATTCATAATTCTTTCAAATATAATTCTTAAGAGTTGATATTTGTATTACTCAAAGGTTTGAAGTTACTATTTTTAACCAACCAAAATTAAAGTTTACTCGAAATTCGCAAAAAATAACATTTCATTTAAATTAACATTTCAGAATTTGTTATTTTTGTATTTAATGAATTTATATTTTTAAGCTTGAATCCGATTTTTGATGGTATAAGATCTGTGAGTAGTATCTTATCATCAAGATATTCAACAAAATATAGATAAGAAAAAAAATAATTATGCGCAACGGAAGTAGATTAAAATCAAACACGTATTTCTACATAAAAAATACAACTTTAATGAATAATTTCTGATATAAAATATTACGAAATCGAATACTGGTAAGCAATTGTTCATTTTTTAATGAAATTAATCCAATAACCAAATTGTTATTAAGTTTAATATTAATTTTTTGAAGTATAACTTAATTCAAAACAAAGACTTAATTAAACTTTAAAGTGAAATTATAATTTTTATAATAGTTAAATAAGATTTTACTGTAATTAATGTTTGCTTGTTATTGGATTGCATATTATTTAGATTCACAATGGATACTATATTGAAAATATACTATCAAGTATAAACATTTCCTCTAATTATATGTACCTAGTGAATAGGAAAAACGCAGATGGATTAATTTATGAGATGTGGTTTCTTATGTAGTACTCTAATTAAGTAAGAAATAAAGGGCAATATTTTTATTTCAGCAAATTCGCAGAAACATAAATGATTTGCCTCTTCCGTGCTTTTAATTTTATGAAATTTAGAATCTATATTATCATATCAAAAAATACTTACCTATTACTCGTAAATAGCTATATTATTTTAAATTTTAATATTGTCTTAATTGTTATCATAATAATCGATTACTATCCATCCCCCTACCTATCCGTAACACGTTTGGATACATTACATATTTAGAAAAATAATACATGTTACATATTGATACAAATTTTGACATTATTTATTGACAATTATTAATCCGTATAATGATTTGGGCAACGTAAAACTTTAGTTGTACCTATCTTTGATTTCTCTAAATTTACTAAATTTATAATCGTTAATCGCAACGCACTTTTTCTCACATATAATTTTTAAAAAATGAAAAACATCCACGTCAAAAATATTATAACAAATAAAATAAAATTATTTTCGATAAGAAATCAAAATTTGAATTGAACTTAATGAACGTCTGAACGCTAAAACTTGCCGCATATTAAAAGAATTTCCGAATGAAACATTTCAAAGCGACGGGAAAGTTTTGTACTGTAAATGTTGTGAAAAATCAGTATCACTATTGATACTGGCCTATGCCAGCGCTTTCAAATAAGTCAATATATTTCTAGTATTAAACATAAACAACATAAAGAGCGTCAAAATAAATTTAAGCAATAATTTTTAACATCTTCGCCTTCTACACTTCTGATGATAATTCGCCAACATTTTATACTGATTTATGACGAGCAATCGTGCTGATATTCCAATTTTTAAACTAAAAAATCCAGCATTGGAGGATTTTCTAGAACAATATACTGGAAAGAAGACAATTGCAGACAAAAATACAATAAGAAAAAAATATGTAAATTTAATTTATGAGAAGACTTTGACATCAATTTGACAAAATATACAGAATGGATCCATTTGGGTTTCTATTGAAGAGTCAACCGATGCGAATGGTAGATATGTGGGTAATGTTATTTTTGGTAAGCTTAGTTCTGAGCCTAATAGTTCGTTTCTCTTAAATTGTGAGCAGTTAGATAAATGTAATCATAAAATCAAGGCCGTATCTAGACATTTTTTTCGGGAGGGATCCAAAATATATACATTGTAATTTTACGACATTTTACATTTTTAAATCTTAGAGAATATGTAGTTTCACATTATTTTAATAATTAGATAAGAGATAAGACTTTTATATTTATTTTTTTTTTGCTAAGCAGTTATTACATATTTTGATTTTTTTTTTACATATTTCAATAAAAATAAGTACATATTTTGGGTTTTTTATTACAATTAAATCCGTTCCCTAGTGATTAGCATCTGTACCCAAACGTGTTCTAAATTTTCAGGTAAAAGTAATGTTATACTCCCAAATATGCTGCTCCCCATTTTTTAAGTTCATTTATGTGGATAAAAAAATAATATACAACTCATCTCTTTCTCTCCCTATTAATTATTGTTGTCATTTGGTATTAGTACCTATATCTATACCTTCGAAGACAAATAAGTGGATAACAGTAGTCTTAGATTTATACGGAAGTCGGAAATACTAGTAGGTTTGTGTGTTTACTAACAAAGCATTTTAAAATTTACATTGTTTTCTAATTTTTTACCTACTCGTATAAAGTATTTTTAAAATTAACTTCTTTAATTGACAAACAAAGCAAAAGAGCTATTAGTTGTTCCTATAATGATATGCTTGTTTTTAAAATAGTTATTTTTTTCACTAAGTAATCAAATAAATTGATTAAATATAGTACAATTCGTTGAAAATTAATAAGTTGTAATTTATTATATGTCTCAATTTCAACACTTATAAAATGTAAGAAAAATATATAAACCAGAAGAATGGATATTATACCATAAGGAATAATTTCTAAAAATTCTAATCTGTATGATTAAATAACATTGAAATCAAAATTTAAATTGTATAAACATTAAAAAAAAAAAAATACATTTCGATGTATAACTACTTTTTAAAATTATTTTTATTTTCTATTATAACTAGAATAATTAAATATGTAAAAAAAATTATTCTTTAATATTTTATTTGTCTTAAAATACTTATACATAGTAATACTGCTTAAATTTTAAATATAAAAAGTGGTCATATATATATATATATATATATATCTGATTATGTATTTTACTAAAATCAATGTCTATGTTTGTGCAAAAAAATTTTATGAATAACGAATAAAATGTTTAACATTTATAATTAAAAAGCATACATTTTTTTTTTTTATTTAAGAAAGCATAAACTTTGATTTTTTTAAATTCAAATCATTTTGTTTCTACCTTTTTTTAAGATTTAATATTTGAATGACTAAAAAATATAACCAAATTGACAATTTTTGCTTAGAAATTCGCGGTGAGAAACTTTTGAAGCACATTTACAGTTTTTTGTGAAATTAATATAAACATATTAAAACTATGTAACTTTAAAAAAACACACTCTTCATTTCACTCGAAATTGAAAACTATTAAAATTAAGAATTAATCTGAAATTGATAATAATACCCAACTAAATACAAACATTTCATTATAAATGTATAGTATTTCATTTACAATGATAAACAAAAGGTTCTATACATATATTATCAATATTCATCAATTCTAACGAAAATCATTAAACATAATTTTTGATTTCCCTGTTTATCTAATGTAAAACTGATACGATAATACTGACAGTTTGTTTTTTTTTTTTTTTTGTAAAAATGTTTTGGTAATCATTTTTTGTGGAAAATTATATCTACCAAAAATTATTATTTTTAATCAACAAAGATCGGCAACAAAAATTAGTAAACCTTTTTATATGCATTAAGTTAGATAGGTTAGGTTAATTAATTATGACATTCAACTAGTTGCACGACATATGTGTATCATTTTTGCCTATTCTCGAACCCCTGAGCTGAAATATATTCTTAGAAAAAATATGTTTTTGTTGAGATTGTATGAGCAAGTGAAACAATATCAATAATTATCACGCATTAACTAACTATAATTTTCAATTATGTATATTATATGAATTTAAATGTGATAAATGCACAGGATTTGGTGATTTTTCAAAATGATTAAATCTAAGAATTATAATAGTTGAACGGGAATTATTTGATTTTTTTAATTTTACCATGTTTGTAATTATTTTTAACTGTAAAGTTATTTTTAATTACAACAAAAATTCGATTAACGGTAGTTTTTGGACTTTTATCAACAAATTTTAAAATAATTTACCATTATAAGAATTTTACCAGTAAAAAAAGTCATTTTCTGCTGTTGTTGCTTCTTTGGTAGCTGTGATATAGTAATGGAAAATAAATTTACCTATAAACAAATCTACGAGATATACTGACATGTAATAAATAATAAACAAATTACAATTTTTATCACATTTAAAAATGTACACTGTACAACTGTTTAATAAAAATACCTAAAAAGTAATTTATCATTGTATAATTTAATATCACTATTATGGTTAGATGTTTGAGATTGGAAATATATAAATTTAATTTGAAGTAATGAGTATTGATAACTATTGTTTTGTACTGTAATACGAAAAATTGACTAGGAGCTATTGAATTGACTAGATATCACATATTTTTACATTTATAATATGGAACTTAAAAGAAAAAAATTTTTACTGTGACATTTATGTTTTTTTAATTTTTTTATTTTTTTAAGAATATCTTTATAATATAGGTACATAATATTTATATGTGCAATACTAACTATTTTGTTAACAAAATTAAGTTTAAAATTTTTTGAAATAAAATAAATGCAATATTATGGAAAATAAAAATGTTTAAAAATGTAAGGACATTTGTCCTAGTGGTCTACTAATTCTTTATCACACTGGACAACTATTTATTATGTAACACGATAGTTACACTGAAGTTAAAGTTAACAGATAATTATTGTTTATTAATTAGTATTTGTAAAGTTTATTGAATAACGTATACTTACCATAGTTTAAGCTGCATATTGTTATTTATTATCTATAAACTCATACTAAATCCTTAATAATTAATAAATATAGTATAATATATAATATTTATACTGTAAATCTTAGTGCATAAGTTAATAAAAAAAATTGACATACATTTTAATGAAATCCGTTTGTTTTTAAATCAAATAATTTCATGAAAAACAAATAACTCTTGATTAGATTAAGTGTTAAGAATGAATAATTTATTAGATAGTTGGAGCTAAATAAAAAAAACTTTATCAGAACTGTGAATGGAGTTGAGCGTATAACATTATGGTTTATAAAGAAAGGTATCTATTATAATATAATTGTTAAACGAAGTAAAACTAACGCGATGGTCGATAGTAAACGTATACTGTAATAAGGTAAGTCTAACGAATTTTATAAAACCATTGTCAATTCTCGTATAGAAACTCGTCGACATACCTAATGTTATGTAAATTTCAGACAGAACTGTATATGGTCAACTGAAGATGAATTATACTCACAGTTGTTCCGGTCACCGGCGAACAGCGCGTTGTATCTCATGAAGTCGGGCCGGCCTCCGAACTTGGAACCGTTGGTGACGAGCACCTCTTGGATGGACGGGTAATCGTTGACCACGATGCACGGCACGGAGCCCATGGTCAAGGCGTAGACGGGCCCATATTGGCGGGACAGCTCGGTAAACCGCCGGAACGGTCGGTCCCGGTGCCCGTCCATGACGTACATGGCCCCGATGATCGGGTACGCCTTCGGGCCGTCGAGCACAGGGTGCGGCGCGGCCGGCGATGGACGCCACCAGCCGGGCTCGGAGTACGAGACCCACAGCACAATCAACATAACCAGCGCAACGGAACCGACGTCGGTACCTGCGGCAGCGGCCACTACCCTGTACACGGTGTCCATAGCCACTCTGTGCCGGCCGCCAACCGCCGGCTGTCCTATATGCGCGAGTGCGCCCCCGGAGACCACTCATCCGCTGCGTCTTCGGCGGTGGTAACGCGCCTCCCACCACCGCAACCGATGCGGTTGTGTCGGGCGATGGCTGTAGGCTGAACGGCGGAAACCAACAGCGAGAGAGCGCGTGACGGCGGAGGAGGAGACGGCGTTGGACGAGGGAGAAGAAGGACGAGAGAGATGCGGCCAGCGCTCTGATGATGCACTGCCGCGGCTCAGCTGGTGCGCGCCGTGATATTGTGGGTTAGGTTGGATTGTAGCAGCAGCACGTGAAGCCGGCGGCGACGGCGGCGGCGTTGCAATGCCACTCGGCTTACGAGGGGGTTAACGAAGAGCGATGCGTTTATGGGCTACTATACGCGTAACATATTTATTTTTATATTTATTTATTATCATTATTATTATTAATGTTACTATGTTATTTTCGTTTTTTTCCCTTGTCGAAGAAAAAAATGTCGAGTCGCGCCGAAAACCCGAAAACCATAAACATTAACGAGCGCGGTCGGCTGACAGCACGTCGCATCAGTCTTTGAATAAATTATAGAACTTTGTTCGGGTTTTCCAGTTGCTCTTCAACCGCCATCTCGCCTCTTCAGCTCTGTAACGCGAACATAGCAGAACCTTGGTAGGGGAGGTAGGGTTCGGACGGAGGAGAAGGGGGAAAAATAAAAAAAAAACAAAAATTTAAATATTGTTAAGGCATCATTTGAATAATGCGTGTAGAATGCATCGTCGTCGTGGTTAATGTTCGATTTTTTTTTTTCTATTGCACCCATCATCATCATACTAGTCGCAGTTAGTATTGCAACGGCCAACCCGTTTTCGATGGACTTGTAACACGTACCTCCTTTTTTGTGCTGCTCTTGTCGACTCATCAAACCGGAATAGTGCAGGTAAGTTCTAATAACACCGGTACGACTTTAGGCACGGCGCGTTTGCCTTCTTATTTTATAAACACTTGCACTCCGTTCAACATTTAAACATTTTGTGCGTGTGTTTCCTGCCAAAGTAGTATTTCAACGTAGAAGTTTTTAAATGGTTTCGTGCTAAAATCCTAGGAACACACACACGATAATTTCGTAAATGTTTACACAAATTCAGCGCTTTGTTTTGCTGTGCGGGTACAACAAAATATCTAACATAGTACATGGTGAAATATTACGTATACCATTTTATAGACGTCTACGATTCAAATAAAATAATCCAAGATGTGTATATATATATATTTCTATTACATGATGTTTTATCGGTTTATACATATTTTGCGATGTAAACTGAATGATTCTCCATTTCCTTTCCTAGAATAATATTAATTATTTTAAACATTACACATTATTTATACTACTAATTGAAAAAATTTAGCTGAATTGAATTTTTTATCTATTATGAACTCATTTCGATGACCTGAAATTGAAATGCGTCGTATGTAACTGTTTCGGTCGATACCGAAAGAAATAGAACCATACCAATAATAGACCACGGGATACAACATAATTTACATATATTTTATTCTTATACTTTAGAGTTCGAATGAGTTAATTAACCAATAATGGTAGGTAAAATATTACTCGATTTTGTTTTTTAGTTGTTCCGATTTATTGATTTACAATAACAATGTGATAGTTAATGGGCAAACGTAAATTGCGTTCAACGAAGAGAAACAATTGTAAATTGCGCCCGGTATTTTTCAGGTATAAAGTTTTGTGTATTAAATTGCGCTTTGTATTTTTCAGATACAAATTTCTGTATGGTAAATTACGCCCAATAGAAATATTATTTTTGTGATAATCATTTAGCATTACCCAGAGAACACCACGAGGAGGCGACTATCACTGTCCTCCAAAAAAGTTTTTTTGGTTTACTTGAGATGAATAAATTAATTTATAAAAATACGAAAATTAATTTTTTTTTTTTTTAATATGGTATTAATTAGGTATAGTTTTTTTTAAATATTTTTTGTTAGGTTAAAAATTTGAATAATAAAAAATACAGTTATAAGTTATCTGCATAATAATGATACATCATCTTCACATATTTAGCCCTCATAATAGTTTTTTCATTGTATTGTTAAATAATTTGGTGTTTAGAAATGTATATAAAAGCTTTTATTAAAATGACTGTGAAAAGATTCACAAGCATAAGTTGTCCGAATTAATGTTGTGGAAGTTTATGCCCAAATATTCGGAGGAAAGTCAGCGAATAAAATATATGTGTTTAAAATATAGTAAGAAAATTGTCTAAGTCGATTATCTTCAGGCATTATAAGTATTAATTCATAGTTAAAATAATCGCAAATATTTCCTGGCTCTAAAAATACCAGGTAATGATGAATTCAAGATCACTTAGATAGTAGATCTATGGGCGCAATTTACTATACCTACCCATTTTAGACTCCGAAAAATCTCGGGCGTAATTTATTAAAGTATTTGTATTATCTTCTTAATGTGGGCGCAATTTGCAAACGTCTTAATTAATTAATTAAACTATTACAACACCAAGTATTACGATCATGTAATATGGTTCAACAAAATTATTAATTCATTTTCTTTTTTAGTTAAAACTTATTATTAACTTTATTATATAAGTAATACATATATTGGAAAATAATTTAATTTAATATGATTCATAAAAAAAAAATAATCATAATTATAAATAGCTCTTTTAAATCAAAAATAATTTTTTGGTTTATTGATAATTTTTAATAGACATTTACCTACATATTGATATTTTATGTTATTACAAATTATAACTGTCACATTAAAATAGTGATTCTAAAACTAATTAAGTTCAGTAAAGTTTTTAAATTTCACCTTAGTCACTTGCCATTTCCTTGACGAATATAATTAAAAATCGAAATCAACTTAAAAAGACAATTATTTTTTTTTCAATAACTTAAGAGAGTTATGAAAACATTTCATAACTCTAAAAATTAGTTTTCCAGAAAAAACATTATAGTAAAATTTATACTTTTTTTAGTTTTTTCTAATAAAATAAGCAAATTTTGTTCTACTCAAATTATATTTGACTAAAATTAGATAGTAAAAATGGATTTAAATGGTTAACGCTTTTAACCTGTATTATTTGTGATCTCTTATTTATGATTTGCCTTCTTAATTGAGCTGTATATGAAAGAGAGTTTATTAGTTATAGGGATAATTATTTTTTTTTCATACTATAAAATGTGTACTTACAGTAAATGAAAATCTTATCATATAAAAATTAATATTGATTACATAATTCGACTTCAAATCTAATATTTTTATTAAAATCTGTTTTAAATATTTTTTAAATATGCCAAGTATATTATGTAACTATACATTTTGTTCAAGTAAAATTAAGTGTTCTTAAATAAAGATGACATTTATAATAGTGATATTTCGTAGAACTACATTATTATAAAATATATAAAGTAACTTATTTATAGTTTATTTATTATAATTTATATAACTTATTTTTACTATTCAGTGATCACATATAGTTTTATTTTATAACAGAATAGTTATTTATAACATTTAATATATATTAATTAGATTGTGTTAGTGTACAGTAAATATGTGAAGTACTGAATTGTAAATATTTTCAAATAAGATTTTTAAAAACTCATTTTAGCAAAAGGCATTATAGTTATATATACTACTACGTATACCTATCTTTGTTGTAGTTGTATAACATGTTGTATTTTCATAAGGGTAGAAACAAGGAACAGGTATAAAACAAGTCAGTTTCGTTTTTTTTTCATTATCTCTGTATTCCTTCTTTATTATTTTATTTTTTTTTTTTTTACATAAGTATTAGTTGTGATCCTGTAATGATTTTCATGCTGTCGCTCTATTCATATGGTGAAACCGGTAGGCAATCAGCACACCTGTTTATTATTCCTTAAAGGTTTGGACGCTGTTTTATCCTGTATCCTCTTTGCATACGTTCGACCTGAGATGAAAAAATATTATCTTACTATACATTTATTATTTGATATACTATATATATATATAATTGGTTATTATTAAAGCTGAACAATGCTCGAAGGGTTACAATGAATCAAGGCATCAAGGCTATGTTCTAGTGGCCCAGTTTTAATAGCGTTTAAGGGAACGTTTACACTCTTAATTTATAAACGAAAGGGAAATATCTTTAGATGTTAATAATTTAATTTAAATGTAGTTTTGTTTTTGGACAGTTAACATAAATTATAAAATGAATATGAACTATTTACATGTAGTTGTAAGTCTTAAATTTTATCTTGTGTATACTTGAGTATAAACTATAGTATATAACATAATACTACGCAGATTATTTTATGAATTATATTTATATAATAAGCATTAAGTCATCCTACTGAGTTTTTGTTCGATCAGTTTTAGATAAAAATTCTAGAATTTGGTATCTTTACTCTTTTGGTACTATTCAGTCTCTTGAAGCTATTAAAAATCGTTTTCTTAGACTCAAAAGTTATAAATGTAATATTCTACATCTGCCTCACATATCATATAAATCTTTACTGTTATATTTAAACATTTACATATTATTAAACAATTAATTGAAAATGATTTAAATCTAACGTAACTGTTTTAACTATGTAGACTTAAACTTTGGACTTTACGTATCCTCAAATAAAAAAATTCTTCGGGTTGATTTTCATTTCAAATACGGCAATTTTACTTATTAACGTACACATCAAGCCAAAAAATGGGCCTCATCGCTGGACAAAAATATACTGTATTTTGTTATTTGATATTTCCACATAACTATTATGATTGTGTTCGCCCGTTTAATCATAACAAATAAGATAAATAAATATTTATTATTTTTCGATTTGATAAGAACCGAAATTCAAGTATTCATTATTTTCCTAGTTTATTAACATAAACATATATTTTTTTACTATATTTAATAAGTGTAATATAAATTAATAAGTGTTAACTTATTTTACAAAATAATTTGAAAATTCATAAAGAAAATGAATGTGTTATTAATCAAATATTGTTTTGCTCTGCTATCAAAAAAAAAAAAAAAAATGTAATATACTACAATTTGGTAGTATTTACGGTATATTTTTTTTTTATCCACTTGTTGATCTTCACTTTTATAAATATTTACCAAATTTATCTAAATATGTTTAAAATAAGCCAAAATATTATCAATATTATTAATTAACACATTTAAGAATAGGTATTTAACATACAAAAATATATTTGAATATATAATTTACATTAATAATATTTGGTACATATTATTGAATATAATTGTATAAACTACAATTAAAATAAGTATTTAACATTAATACTAATACTTAATTTATTTATTTTATTACAATGTTAATTTATTGAATTATTATATATGATAAATTATTTTATTATAATAAAATGAATTATATTAGAAGTAGGCATTGGGAATTTTACTTATCAAAATTTAATTAGATAATTTAGATGTTAAATTAATAACTAAATATCTTTCCTACTTGCTTACTACTTTATCTGTTATTATCTAATAACTATATATATAAAACCAGTGATGTAAAAATGAGAGGGAGTTTTGGGATAATTCCCTTCCCCAAGGACTATAAAAAAAAAATTCAGTTTTGAAATGGTTAAAATGAAAAATATTCACATCATGAATATTTTAACGTGTGTATAAAATTTAGTATTTATCAATTATGATGGAATCACAAAAATATTAATTTTTCGTCCGAGGAGTTATAAAAATATCTCTTTGATATTAATACATTATAACCACGTTTACAATTTAATTCTCCGCTCCTAAATAAAATAAAAGTATACCACTGTATAAAGCAAGTATATATTATAATGATATGTTTTTATTAAATAATAAAATAATAATAAATAATAAAAAAAAACATATATCTCTAAGCAAGGCATAGCAAATTAAAAATTTA